ATGCTTTGTTAGGTGTTTCTCCCAGCTTTACATTTTTTTGTTGTTGTTGAGACAATATTATCACTGAATAGTCTAGACTGGCCTTAAACTGGTGTGTTGGCATCCTCAGGAGAGAGTATTGCTAGGCTTGCAGATGTGTGCCCCTCAATCGTTCTCTGTCCTCAGCTTCATCTTCACTCCCATTTGATAGTGTGTGATTGAGGTATCCTGACCTTCCTGACCTCACCGCAGAAATCTGCCTGGTACCCTTGTTCCTACCTTTACAGAGAAGCACCTTGGTTACAAGGGTTTTAAGTCTGATAACTGCATTTGGGCTCCCCAACTGTCTGGCCTGCAATCCTCCCTCCATTGTATGTCTCCTGGTGACCTGATGGACATGCCAAGGCATGGGGCTTAGATAAGGTGCTGGTGGGGAGCGGGAGGAGGGAGATGGAAAACCTGGGGGCTGGAGAAGGCTCTGCTGGGGTTGAGCTGCTATTGACCTGGGCTGCAGACTTCACTGGACAGTGATGTCAGGAGTCCACCTTCAGCCTTTAGGGTACACCAGGACATCTGGGGTGAACTCTGGGTGCCTCAGCTCATGCAGAGTAGTGTACAGGGCAGGTTGGCAGAGCCATAGGGCCGAAGTGCCCTATCTGGCCTCCCCTGTTGTGGCCCGAAGGCAAAGGGCGATTTTCCACACATGGACCTGTTGGTGGGTGGCAGGTTCCAGGTGCGCAAAGCGCTGTCCCTAAAGACTCGCTCACTCATCTCAGGCTGTGGTGCAGGTGAGACTGTTTCAGACAAGGAGTCCTGCTGGGTCAGCATCTTGTGCTGAGCGGGAGTTCATCTAAGTGAGGTTCACTAACAAAAACAGGTCAGGATAGCAGCTTTGATCCATCTTGCCACCTTTTGAGCCAGGGTCTCACTGTGTAGTTTAGGCTAGTCTTTTGGGTTTTTTGCTACAGGGAATTGGACTCAGGACCATGTCATTGCCAGGCAAGGGCTGTCCCCCTGAGCTGTATCCCTGGCCCGGTTCAGGCTGCTCTTGAACTTCCTTTGCAACCCAGGCTGACCACACCAAGCAGTCATGCCTGGCTTTAAAATTTAAGAAAAATGGCTCTCAAGCCAACTTGAACTACATGGCGTAATCTTGTTTCAAAAAACAAGAACTGAGGTGGGCACGTAGTAGCTCTGTGGTGGTAATGGCGGCTCATGCCTTGCCCTGAAAAAGTGAAACTACAAGTTTCCTCTTGGCCGTCCCCTTAAAAGTTACCCAACCCTGTTATGGAAAACTAGCTGGGCGTGGGTTGGAGGGTACGGCACCACAAAGCACAAGCCACACCTCAGCTTTAGTTAGGTGGACAGGTCGATTCTTGGCCTCTTCCTGTTAACCCACTGGCTCCACTCACACTGGGGACACATGACATGCCAGGGAGGATGGGTGCTCTGGAAGGACCAGAGAGAAGAGTTGCTTAGAAGGGAAAGTGCTTTACTAGATTCCATGTGGCAAGCTGTGGAAGCCTTTGGGTGCAGGAGGCCCCAACCAGCCTGGGTCTGGCAAAGGCTGAGTGTTGTGACCTGTGTGACTGAGGGCTCCTAAGGCAAGGAGGGTCAGAGCTGGGAGCAGGATCAGGACATCAGCCTGGTCTGTTGCCTTGGCCTGGAACCGAGAGCCTCATGAAGCAGGTACCAGCTGGAGCCACATCCCCAGTCTCCAGGGCCTCCGTCTTGTTTTCTGTCAGGACAGGAGCAGGGCCAAACTGGGAGAGTTACACTACATAGGCAAGCCTCGGGCTGCCATGTACCGGTGCAGCCACAGTGGCCCCCTGGACTCATTACACTGGCACCCCAGGAAAGCAGGGAGACATGCATGGGTGGGTCACAGGGCAGTGCACCGTGCTGGTTCCCTCAGGAAATGCTGAGGGGACCCCAGGTGGTGCACCACCTCCAAGACAGCAATAAAGGGCAAAGTGTATAACTTCTGCTACAAGGGCTGCGCATGGGGTCAGAAGGCAGGCATTCTGTCTTGAGGACTGAACTAGTCATCCAAGTGCATCCTCTTCAGTCAGCATCAAGGAGCAGAGTCTGAAGCTTTCTGTGTCCTCTGGGATGATGCTAATGCTCCTGCTTTGTTACAGTGGTGTCATGAGAATGTGACCACCTGGGACACCTCGCATTGGGGCCTGGCTCCCTGGATACCCCATGTGCTAGAGGGAGGCCGAATCCAGGGCTCCGTGGTCTTGGCAAGGTATTCGGGGTACACTCGCTGTTAGGGTCTGTGTGCTACATGTGGCCAGCCTGCCTGGTGGCGTGTGGCCTGGCTGCTTGTGCTGCCGCTGCAGGGAGCTGAGTGGCTCCAGAGACAACAGATTCCCGACAGCCTGTGCTCCTGGCTGTCGCTGTGGCCCGCTGCAGCTGGGCCAGACCCTGGGTTCCACCTCTAGCACCACAAGAATATCTCAGTGCTGCGACTCAGTATGTAGCAGGACCTTTGCATTCCGGTGCTGGGAGTGAGCCTGGGGCTTCACATGTGCCAGGGATGTGTACTGCACCGCAGGGCTCCTGAAGTTTTCCAGGTTGGCTTTGAACTTCCAGTTCTCCCTCAGCCTCCTGGGTTGCTGGGATTACATGTGTTACCATCACATGGCCAGATAGGATTTAGCATTCGGAGTTTGTCTTATGCTTTGCTTATGCCTCCTAATTGCCAGAAAGCTGCATGGGCTCTGCCCATTACTGTGCCACCTGCTATACAACACTCAAGCCCCAGTAGAGGTTCCCTGTCCCTGATTCCACATGGTATCTGGCCAAACCAAGCATCTGAATCGAGGCCTTTTTTTCTTTTTTAAACGTATCAGGATTGAACCCAGGACCTTGGCACTGAGCTACATCCCCAGCCCTTTTCCTTTATTTCCAGGCACAAGGGACCCATGCGGTGAACTGTGTGATGGTGGCCATGCATCTCCACACCTGCATAATGCTGCGTAGGACTAAACACGCACACACAAGTACCACGAGACTGGGCATGTCTCTGTCACGTGGGTGGCGGTGTGGCTGTCAGCATCTGGGGTGCGGCAGCCTTGCAGGGAGTAGAGGCGGGAAGTGGGATGGGGACATCTAGATGCAAGCCTCTCAGAATAAAGCAGCGCTTTTAAATTGCAAGTGGAACAGGCACAAAGATAGATGTGTTTAGTCGAAGTGCAGAATTGGATTGATGCTGTCCTGAAGGCGGCAAGCATTCCTCCACTGAGCTCCTTGCACTCCAGGGCTGGGTGTTTCTGTGTGAGAACTGCTGTCCAATAAAATGACGACAGCAGCAGTGTGGATCCAAGTCAGGAGAGAGCAAGCAGCCTTTCCAGTTGTTGGCTGTGGGGCACACCTGAGTCCTGGAGGGCGGGTGGGGGCTTGGTGGCCGGAAGGTCCTGCCTGCTGCCCTCGATGGTGTGGCAGTGCTCTTGGAAACTGCCTTGCTGTGTGAATGAGAGGCCTCTCTAGTCTAATAAGCATGAATAATCAGTGAAGCAAAACAGTGGCACATACCTGTAACCCCAGTACACAGGAGTGTAGCAAGTTGCTGGCCAGCAGCTTAGTGAGCCCCTGCCCCAAATATATAACAGACTGTAAATGTGTTGACAGAACAATGACAGATGTCCAGGTGGTGGCACACACGTTTAACCTCAGCACAGTAGGAGGCTGAGGCAGGAGGATGGCAAATTGGAGCCCAGCCTGGATAATTTAGTGATTCAGTGAGATGTCTCAAAAAATAAAAGGCTGGGGATGTAGCTCAGTACAAAGGCCCTAGGGGCTCAAAACTCAGTACTGCAAATACTAAAAATTAAAAAGCCAGAAAGGGCACATCAAGCACAGCCCTAGGCCCACTCTGGGACCATTTATCAGGAATGGAGCCCAGGTTCCAGAAGTGCCAGAGGTGGCCAGTCCCTTGTGCTGGCCCAAGAGAAGCCCGGGGTGTCTCAGTCTTTGGAGCACAGGCACTATTCCAAACCATAGATTTTTAGGGCACCGAGCCAGCACTGGGAAGTGTTTGGGTGGGTCCTCAGTACTAGGTGCTCAGTTGGTGAAAATTAACCCCTGTACCCTGCTTGGGTTTATACCCGTCCCCTCACTTTGCCAGGGGATGCCTAGTGGGGGCAGATTGTCACCTAGCTATGTCCCCCAGCCCATGTGGTGTCCCACCCAAGGACTGCCTGCCTGGGATGGGATGTCAGCACTTGGGCTCTTGGTGACACAGACAAGCATTGCAGCAGAGCTGACAACCTCGGGCGTGTTCAAGGGAGGTATGGCCATAGACTCCAGTGGGTAGGGATGCTGTGCTATGGGCTAACAGTGGCTGTGTGAGCACAGCCACTGTCGCCTTGTCAGGGGGCTCGCCACTGCCTCAAGGCCCTGTCCCCTCCACCCCTTACTAATGCCATTCTGTCCCCAGGACCTCAAGCATGGTCCAGGGGATCGACACTCTGCTTCTCTCCCTTGGAGACCCTTGAGGGTGGCAGACAGGATGGTGTGTTGGGGTCCCCACCATACCCTTTGCTACCCAGTTCTGGCACCTGTGCTCAGCAGCCACTGTAGGATGTGATAGGAAGAGGGTGGCCAGTGAGGACTTGGGGGAACAACAGATGGTTTGGAGGTCTAAGCTGCCACCTGCAGGGCACCTGGCTATGGCTCTTCCTGAGGTCTCAAACTGCAGGGTTGGGGATTCCCTGTGCTGTGCAGCTGGAGGAGGGCACAAAGGAACTGCCACCCCAGGTCACAGTTGGGAGCCTGTGTGGGGCCGAAGGGCTCCTTCATGCTCTCAAGGGGGCGCCCACTGGGCATCATTTGGGGTCACAGGCTCTCTGGGTCTTCAGGGCAAGGCCTGAAAACTGGGGCTTGCTGTGGTGGAACCCAGCCATGGGCCAGTCGGGGGTGAGGCTTCATGGTGGGGGTTGACATGGGGCGATGGGGGGCAGCCAAGTGTACCCTGACTTAAGCAGCAGACCACAGAGCCCACAAGACCACAAGCACAGAGGTGGGACTATTTAATAGACAGATGAGCACAGAGGGGGGACTATTTAATAGACAGATGAGCTCTGGGAGGGAGCTGGCATCGAGGCAGTGGGCAGTGAGTGCCCCCCTGTGGGTCCTTAGCTCAGCAGCCACTGGCACCTGCAGAGAATGGGGCGGGGCCTTAGAAACACAAACAACCTGGGGGCACAGACCCCACCCACCCACTGGAATCCAGCTCACCTGCGTTGAGGAGTGAGGTGCCCTTGGGTGGAGGGCTGCAGGAAGAATGGAACAGTTAGCAGCAGCCAGCCCTGGGACCCTCTGTCCCCTCCCCAGGTGCAGAGCTCTCCCTCACTGAGCCCTTGGGCAGGGGGTGTGAGCGGCAAACCCAGGTTGGCTTCCCAGTCTACTGCCCCACCTCCCAACCCGCGCCCCTCACCTGGGCTCCTTGCTCTGCTTGCACTTGCACTTGCCACCTGTGAGGGGAGGCACTGGCTCAGACCAGAGCCCTCCTCACCTCCCCCCCCCGCCCCTCCCTCACCTGCCCCACTCACTCAGGGCCCAGGCGAACCCCGCGATGCACAGGAGCCCCGCGAAGATCGTACCACCCAGCTGCAGGCTCTCCCAGTCTAGGCAGGTGGACCAGGTGGAGAGGGGGGGACAGAGAGAGCCTCACTCATCCCAAGAGAGAGTTGGGGGCTGGGCTGGGGGGCAAGGGGCCCCCTGTGAGCCCTGGCTCCATCCCCAGCATGGAAAGTGGGGTGAGTGCAGGCGTGTGGTGCACAGCAGAGCTGGGGCCAGGGCTCACACAGTAGGGGAGGCGCCTGTCCAGCTGCCCCCTGACACTCGGGCAGCTGATGCTGTGTAGAAATGGTACGGAGACAGGTGGCAAGGAGGGGCGCACAGAGCAAGGAGGAAGTGCTGCTGAAAGGTGGCCTGAGCTGGGACCCCTGGCCCAGTCTGGACGAAGCCGTGAGGACCAGGGAGATGGTTCCCCCCTCACTCCTCTACCTCCATCCCTCGGCTGCACTGGAGCACAGCCTTAATCCCCAGCCACCACATCCCAGGGGTAGCAGCTCTTACCATAGTAGAAGGGACTGTCCCTCTCTGAGGAAGGAAAAAGAGAAAGTAAAGGCCAAACCCTCGATGGGATGGGGCCCAGGAAGGGGGGTGCTCCTCACCAAACAGGTCACCGGCTTCCGTGACGGGCAGGCCTGGGCAGAAAGAGCAGAGGACAGCAGGTAGTGGTGGCAAGGTGCCACCACTGCAGGGTTTGGAGGCCACCCTGGCCTGCCGCAGCCCTTCTTGGTGCTTTCCCAGCCTGCACCCCCAACCCCAGGCTTCTGTGGCTCTGGCTTTGTACAGAATGGATGCCTTGCTGGTGTGTCAGTAGCTTCCTGTGGTACCTGGCAACCTCACTGCTCCCCAGGACACCGGCTAAGTGACCCAGGCCTGTGAAAATATTTCTGCAGTGCCCACATTCCGCCCTCAAAGTCCTTCCCTGCATGCCAGCCCCAGAGAGGTGCCAGACTCACCTGCCAGTGCCAGGAGGAAGGCCTGGGTTGCTGCTTCCATGGCTTCCTGTGAGCAGGGCTGTGGGCAGGACTGGTGGAGACGTGGGACTGAGTGGTGGGTCACCTTCTGGCTTGGCCACAGAGGCTGCCTCTTCTTCGGTCTGGAGAGGCTGGCCTCTGCCTGGCACCCTGCGGGGTAGCTTACTGAAGGCAGCGGGACTTGGACAGTGAAGTTGAAATCTACAGTAATCCCACTCCCTGAAAACTTGCTCATGATCTGTGGATCATAGGTGTGTCACAGGAGGAGCCCAATGGAATTCAGGGAGGGGTAGCCAGAATGGTCAAGGTCAGCGCTGCGGTCTGAGCCAGTTGAGGTCTGAGCCCTGGACATTCACAAAGGCCTGGGGCTGGGGTGGCAGCCTGAGCCCAGAAGCCAGGGCTGTTGCAGAGGCGTGTGAGCTGGGGCCCAGGGTGGGCAGGGGGTGCTGGGCTGAGTTCCCAGCCCTGCTTTAGGCCCCCAGATGGCACCACGCACGCCCCTGCCTCGCTGTGGGCGTGATTCCACCCACAGCCCCTCTAGTTGTCCCTAGTGACCTAGGCCTGTGCACATCGGAGTCAGTCTGGCTGGTGTTACTTGGGGTCTGCCCTGCAGCCACCATTGCTGTCATTGGGTAGGATCACGGAACTCAGCCATCAGCCCAGGTCCCTTAAACTCTCTGGGCTCAGTGACCTTAGAAGTTATGTGAACTATTTATTGAGCCTAAAAAAAGCCTACCACTGAAAACCAATTACAGGGTATAAATATATATATTATATCGCGGGTGTGGTGGCACACACCTGCAAGCCTAGCATTTACGAGGCAGAGGCAGGAGGGTTGATGTGAGTTCAAGGGCAGTCTGAACTACATAGCAAGACCCTGTCTCAAAAAACCAAAAAAATAAACACATAGCATACTGGCAAACACTTATCCCTCACTTGGGAAGCTGAGGCAAGAGTACAAGGCCAGCCTGAACTATATAGTTGGACTTTTCACAAAAAAAAAAAAAATAGCAACAAAAAATTTTGTAAATGCATAAACAAGCCAGGGATATAGCTCAGCGGCATAAGTGCTTGCCTGGCAAGTGCAAGGTCCTGAGATTGATCCCTGATACAAAAAATTAAAATAAATGCATAAACAAATGGTCATTTGCCAGACAAGGGATGGTGGACACTTGGTTTCTGAATGAGGCTGGAGCAGATCAGGCCCAAGGCTGCCCCCACCCAGCCTCTGGCTCTTGAGGGGTCCTCCCCAGACCACCTCCTCCAGCCTAGGCTGGCTGCTGCAGTCTCAGACCTCAGAAGCCCAGCAGCAGCCCACTCACTACCCAGAGTCCTCCGGCACCTGCCCCCCACCCTCAGGCACCAGAGCCACCCCCTCCTGTGGTATCCCACTGTCCCTCGGGTACCTGCACACCTGGCATTCACCTGGGCACGGTGGGAGCAGGTCTGGGGTGCACGCAGCCCTTGCTCTTTAAAACCCACAGCCCCACCCAGAGATGCCAAGGGAACTGGTCAGACTCCTGCCCTTCCCCCACCCGCCACACCTGGCTGGGGCTGAGGATGAGGGAGGGGGCAGGCGCTTCCTCTTCCTGAGGAATGGAGAGCAAGGGGTATTGGGCTGCTCTGAGGTCAGCATGGGTTCTGGGCTTCTGTGGGTCACCTAGGGCACAGGGCAGATGGCACTTGGGGACTAGCCTGAGGCCTCTGTCCTTCTGTTGTATGCTGAAAGGACACTTGGCAGGCAAGGAGCAGGGTCTCTGGCCATGGAGATGGGCTGGTCCTCTTAGGCAGAAGAAAGAGTCATGGGCAGAGAGCTTTGCAGTGGCTGCTAGATGGGGAGGGGTCCCTGGACCCTGCATCACTGAGGTCCCCTGCCGCACTGAGTCACCAGAGGGAGCTCAGGCAGGGATGGGGTTATGGGGAGTCTTTCCTGGCAATGTCCTTGATCTCTGCCCAACGTGCGGATGGGGAAGCAGGGACCCCTTAACTTCAGACAGCTCTGGGACCTCTCTGGCTAAGTTGGAAATGTCCACTAGACTTTTTCCCCTCAAGTATTGGAGACTGAACCCAGGGTCTTTGAACTGATCTACATCCTCTTTTTAGTTTTATTTTGAAACAGAGTCTCATTAATTTGCTTAGGCTGGGCTCAAGCATGGGCTCCTCCTGCCTCAGTTCTGGGGTTACAGATCTGCACCACCATGCCTGGCTATCCCAGGCGTATTTTTAAATGAAGGAGTATAGGCCCTGCAGTACTATGGGGCAATCTTTTTTTTTTTTTTTTTATTGGTACTGGGGATCGAACTCACGACCACCTGCTTGCAAGGCAGGTTCTTATGGCACTGAGCTAAATCCCCAGCCCTATGGGGCAATCTTAATAGGACACCATCAGTTATGCAGGGGTGAACTCTCTGAGGACCACCACCTGTGGGGCCCAATGTGAAGATGACCACTTGTGGGGAACCAGTAGGGGCAACACTCTCCACCTGCCAGCTTCCATGCCGGCCGTGCCTGTCTAGGAAGAGGTTACACACGGATGGCAGGGCTGCTGGCCCGAGGCTTCCAGAAGTGCAGACTCCTCATCCCCAGGCATAGAGAGGAGGCCAACGGGGAGCGAGGCTCAGTACCCTGCTCTTAGTGATCATGACCCAGCTGGCTCTGTCACTGCACCTTCACCGCATGTGGCAGCCGCCTCCGTGGCCTCTGCTTTCCCGTGTCCTAGAGATGAAGGCAAGTGCTCTAGCACTGACTACGTCCTCAGCCCCTTTTCAGTTTTACTTGAGACAGGGTACTGCTGACTTCCCTTGTCAGGTTTGAATTTGGAATCCTCTTGCCTCAGCCTCCCAGAGTGCTGGGAAGTGTGCCACCTTCCCAGGTCTGGCTGTGCTTTTGACAGACTGCCACAGTCTCCTGTGGGCCAATCCCAGCCTTTAGGCCCTGACCCTTGCAGCTCTGTTGTCATTCTCTAGATGCGATCCCATATATAGATCCCTGTAGTCTGGGAGCAGAATTGCACCTGGAGCCCATGCTGAGGATGCTGGATCATCACTGAGTAGAGGGACCCTGAGAGCCTTGCTTTGCAGCAGCGGCCACCACTTACATCTCCCCTCTCGGTGTGCGTGTGTGAACACGTGAGCATGCACTGTGTGTGTGTCTGCACACACAACTATCGGAACAGACACTCATGGCCTTATGGTGATTCCCATGCCAGCTACTGCATCTGGGAAGACAGGGGAGAACTCGGGCTGTGCCAGGCAAGACAGAAGCCATTTCCTTTTCCCCTCTGGTCAATCCTTTCTTCCCCTGTGGTGGGGGGCATGGAACCCAGGGTCTTTTCACTGAGCTATAGTCCTAACCCATTTTATTTTGAGACAAGGAATCGCTAAATTGTCCAGGCAGGATTTAAAGTTGTGATCCTCCTGTCTCAGCCTCCCAAGTGCTGGGATTACATGTGTGCACCACTGCACCAGCTTCTTTGGTCCACCTTAAGAAATTCCTGCTTTATTACTTTTCTTCCAGAGCATAAAATCCTTCAAGGAATCAGGAGTGGCAGCAGCAGGGGAAAGGAGCATTTCTGGGTGAGGCAGGCTCTTGACAGGGACGAGGAGCCCAGGAGGGAGCCCCTGGGGGTGCTGATGTCCAGGTCACTCTGCCACCCACCTCCAGGGCACAGTCCTTGGTGTCCCCAGCTTGCTGCCTCCAGAAGGGAAGAACTTGTGCTTTTTCTCTCTGATATTTGACACCAAGGTTGTGAGCCTCTGTGTGTGTGTGTGTGTGTGTGTGTGTGTGTGTGTGTGTGTGTGTCCCTGTGGGTGGTGGTGCTTGTTACCCAGCCTTCCCTGTCAAAGCAGTGAGAATTCAGAGCCCAGTGCCTTTGTGGCTCCTAGGCTTCTGCAGGACTGGCCCGTAGGAGGCCGAAGGTGAGCCCAGGCGGAGCAGACTACTCAGCCTGAATGCTGCACCTGAGATGGAGGGCACCTCAGCAGACACTGCCTTGCCTTGTTTGCTAGCAAAGCCAGGGTTGAAACCAGGGCCTCAAACTCTGTAACCACGAGCTCCAGCTCTACTGAGCCGCCCCAGTCCCAACAAATGCTCCTTAAGGAATGAAGTATTCAGAGACTCATTCCTCTCAGCCCTGGGTTTCAGGTTTAATATCTAGGAAGATAAGCTGGTTAACTAGGAGCTGGCAGTGTGCCACTTCCTGCTTCGGGGGTAGCTGCTGCCCCTGGGCCTGGGCCTGGCCACAGGGACAGATGCCCAGGTGTGGTGCCACCTCTTGGTGCAAAGACCGGCCTGCCGCAGCTTCCTTCCAACCTGGGATGGGGACAAGTGAGCTTTCTACTGTCAACTGTGACAGTAACCCGAGATAGGCCTGGGGCATGACCCTGGAGAGCAGAAGTGATGGGGTGAGGGGCACGTGCGTGGCCCCCAATAGGCAGATCTGTGGTCCCTTTCTGAAGGCTTTCCCCAAGCAAAGGTGGTGGTCATCGCACAGGGTCTCTACCTGCACATGACCTCTTCTGTCCCATTTTTTTGTATCGTTTAATTTTTACAGAGATTGAATCCAGCGCTTTCGCGCTACATCTCTTAGCCCTGTTTTAATTTTGAGGAGGATCTGGCTAACTCACTAAATTGCCAGAGCTGGACTTGAACTTATGAAACCCTGGCCTCAGGCTCCCCAAGTGCTGGAATGACAAGCGAATGCCACCATGCCCGGGGTCATGGCTAGCTCAGACCAGATCCGAAGACAAGCCATGCCTGTCCCCGCCTTAATAACTGCTTGTCCCTTGTGTAGCGCTGCCTGCTGCAGCGCACCTGGCCGTATCTTCGTCTCCTCGGTCTCGCAGAGCTGGATCTACTAAGAGCACGGCGGAGAGCAAGGTGCCTCGCATAAGGGACGGCCTAGTTCCGGGAGCCCAGGCCCGCAGTGTACATGGAGGCCGCAGAACCCCGGCAGCAGCCCGGACACTCCCTGCGCAGACGCGGCCTCCTACAAGAAACGCCGTGGCCTGGCCCTCGCTAGCCTATCAAAGCCGGACGTGGCGAACGGCAGCCAATCAGCCTCAAGGAATGTGAGTTTGCGCGGGCCCGCACAAAGAGTCAGTGTGGGCGGAGCTCTCCATTGGGCGGAAACGATCATGATGGTTTACTCGCGTGGATTGGCTGCTCCGGTCGCCGGAAGTGCAAGTCGGGTGTCCGCCCTCCCTTGCTTGTGCAGTTGCTCGCCAGCGCTCGGCGCCCCCTGGCGGCGGTGGCGCGGGTCGTGTAGAGAACTTAAGGAGTGCGGAAGGCGACAGCCTCGAGGTCCGTAGAGGACGCGGCCGGCGTGTCGGAGGACCCTCGAGACGGCCAGGGAGGCGAACAGAAAGACACTTCCTCTTCCTCCCCCACTTCTTTTTCCTCCACCTCCACTTCCTCCTCTTCGTTGTCTTTCTCCTACTGTTCCCCCTTCACTTCCTCTCTTTGACTTCCTCCTCCTCCGCCCTGTCCACCTCCACTTGTTCCCGCTCGTTTCTGGGGCGCCTTGACCTGTCCCCGCACCCGGCCTCTCTGCTGTGCAGCCCTCGCTCACTCGCGTCCGGTGCTGGGTCCGTCCTGATCCGGGCGGCTCTTTCCTGCGGCCTGGCTGCTCCTGGCACTAGGCTCAGAAACCTGGACCGCCGCAGGAAGACAGCATGGGGCCTGGGTGCATGTAGGACGTTAACTGTTGAGCAAAATGACACGGTCCTC